GTCACAAATTATTTTATTGGTCATGAATCAAAAAATTACAGGTCACAGTTATCTATCAGTCACATATTTTCAAATTTATTGATTACAGATTAATTTTTAATCACAAATTGTCGAATTTTAAGGTCACAGTTAGTCCATTATCCGATTTTTTTGTGACTAACACCGACTTCTGTGACCAACAACTCACCACTGCCACTGCCGCATCGCCGTCCCTGCCACAGCCGCATCGCCGTCACTGCCACCACCACAACCACAACTAACACCGACACCTACACCACCACCGTCGACCGCCACCTGTACCACCACTTTCTAGATCTTCAACAAAATCACCTCCGCCGCCATCACTAGCAATCGCCACCACAAAACTCACCTCCACCGCCAGATCCACCATCGCCATTAGACCTACCACCATAGCCAACAATCACACAAATCATTCACGACCAAATCGTAGATACTGCAGATCGCCACAAGATTTGCCAACAGCGCCAAATCCACCGCAAAACCACTTCACCAACAAACCATCACCAACACCGCCATCGCCATCACCAACCAACAAACTACAACTACAAAACCAGCAACACGGCCACCACCAACAAAATCAATGCACAACCACTGCCAAAAAAAAAAATCCAAAATCTGCATCATCACCACCATTATTTTCATAACGCTAACAATCACCAATAAAAACACTCAAAAACTCCAGTAAAGCAGTAGATTGGAGAAAGAAACCACCACAAAAATATCACGACGACTATGATATAGCATCACAGCCTATGAGTTCCGTACCCCATGGCAGTCTGGTATATTCTTCCCGCACCACAAGAGTGAGCAAATGGGTTGTTTGGTTCAGGCAATTGCAAATCGATTCAAATTAGATGAAATAAACCACCGCACAGCGCGATGCTCACAGGCATCGCACACTATGGCACTCCGGTGATTTTCAGCAGTAATCTTCCTTGTGATAAAGAGAGAGAATGTATGGATGTGTGTGTAGATGTTATGTGTTGTTTGTGGAGAAGCGAAATTGCGACGGTGGTTCGAGGTTGGGCTGCTGATAGAGAGAGTCGTCGGTGAGGGTGGGTAGAGAGAGAGAGTAGAGGAGGAAGGAAAATGGAAATGATTTTTGTGATGAAATTGATTAGGGTTTGTGAAGGTGGGTATGTAAATTAAATTTGTTTTATAATATTATTATTACTATTAAATTTTTTAATTATAATCTGAATTTTGAAAAAATTAACATTGCATCTGATTTTTGAAATTTGAATTTGAAAGAGAGGGATGTGTGTAATTTCCACTAACAAATTTTCAAGATGGATTCTAGCTATAATTAAATTAGAGTCGTGGACCTTGTGTATTCGGAAAGTTTCGTATCTACATCATTATAAATTAAAATTTCA